AGGGCAGCTTAGGCAGAGGGACCCACATACAAAAGGGTGGAGGCCATCACTGGAATGGCAGTGTGCTCTTCCTGGTTTGTGGCCAATTTGTCTTTGGGGAAGTCATGAAAAGTAGGTCTGGAATCAACAAGGGACAATCAAGCTGTGCATCCTGAGACTTCTAGACTTTTTTTATGGGTCATGGCCATTCTTGAAGGATTTTGAGTGCAGCGGTGTTGTAGGAAGATCAAGTAGTCTGCTGCATGTAGACCTGCTTGAAGAAAGGCTTTTACAGTCTGCCAGATGAGATATCGTAAGGACTTGAACTAAGAGAGGGGCACTGAGGGCAGAGAAAGGGAACATACCTGTGAGTTTTGGCAAATATAGAATCAACAGGATCTCCCATAGTTTCATCTGTGGGGCTGAAGAGAGAGCAGTATAGCTTTCCTGTTTCTGGCTTGAGTGCCGATATGGGCAGTGGTGGCATTTTCAGGGATCAGAATTATACAAGGAACAGATTTAGGTGGACAGGTGGGAAAAAAGACAAATCAGTCAATTCTGCTTTCATATATTGCATTTGAGGTGCTAAGATGGAAATGTCCAGAAGGCAGATAGGCACTTTAGTTACAAGTGAGGGTCATACATGGAGATAGGAGGAAGTACTTTAGGGTAATTCTCAAGTAACTTCAAATGGGATCACTGGAGAGGAGGATAGGAGGGCATGTGTGAAGGACATGCCAACATTAGGAGTGAGAGAGGAGGTCAAGTGATGATAGAAATCAATAGACAGTCAGTGCCAAGTAGGACATATCAGGGACATAAAGCAGCTGCTAAGAAGTTACTTTGGGGAGGGGATTTAGCTCAGTGGTTTCACTGCTGGCTGCGCAAGCACCAAGGACCCAAGTTCGATCCCCAGTACCCCCCCCAAAAAACAGTTACTTTGGGGGAAAAAAAAGACCTCTTGAATCTGAGTGCTAATAGATAACTTGAATCTGAGTGATAACAGATAACTTGAGGGCCTTTTCTATGCTAGTCCGAAGCACAAAAATGAGTAAATATTATCCTGCCTTGCAATGAAGGCCAGCATATATATAGATAGATTATAGATCAGCTTTGTAATTCCACTAGTTGAGACATATGCAAAGTACCAAGAGAACACAGTTCATTTTTCTCCTTATGATAAGAGTAATAAATGTTAATTGTAGAAAAACCAGAAAATACAGAAAAACAAAGAAAATGTACATAACTCATCATTCTACAACCCAGACACATGACTGTTAACATTTTCATTTGTATTTTATAAAAAACCCTAATTTTTAAACAAAATTAAATAATAATGCACATTACTTTTTTACTTATTTATGTAATGCTATGTATGTTCTTAAAAATGTGCTTTAGTCTGTCTTCTGTGGTTATAGTAAATGCCTGATAATGGTTACTTGTACAGAAATGAGGCCTACTTAACTGACAGTTTTGGAGGCTGAAAGTCCAAGCAGCATGAGTCCAGCTCTAGTGAGGGCCCCGGGCTGCATCACCTCCTGGCAGATGGCATCATGGTGGGAGTGGGTGTGGCACAGGGAGACCACAAGGCCAGACTGGAAGCCAAGCAACGGAGAGACCTCTCCTCTTTTCAACATTGCCTCACTAAGGCCCAAGCTCTCAACCTGCAAACCTGGGGACACATTCCAATCATATTGGAGTCAGTTTTTATTTTTATTAATCCATGTTTTCAGTGCATAATGGTCACATGCCTCGTGAAGAGCTGGCACACGTACCAAACACATCTCCCTTTTCTTCATCCCCTTTCTTCCTCCCGCCCTCCATCTCTCGGTCCTCTCCAAAAGGTTTATCTCCTTACCTCCTATTATCTATATTTTATTTTGTTCTTTATAGTTTAGGTTTCCCATGTAAGAGAAACTAGGTGATATTTAAGATTGTGTGTCTCTGTTTCTTTTGCTTAACATTATGTTCTGCAGGTGCATCCATTTTCCTGCAAATTACTCAAGTACACCCTTTATGGAAGAGTAGTACTCTGTTCCAAAGAAAATATCACATTTTCTTTATCCATTTATCTGTTGATGGACATATAGGCTGCTTCTAAGATTTAGCTATTGTTAATTGTACTGCTGTAAACATGGATATACATGTGTCCCTGTAATATTTGTATTTAACTATTTCAGGATGATACCTAGAAAGTGAATAACTGGATTGAATGAAATTTCTATTTTTAGTTTTTTGAGAAATCTCTATACTGATTTCCATAGTGGTTGTACTAGTTTATATTACCACCAACAATGGAGAAGGGTTTGCCAGCATCTGTTATTGTTTGATTTCTTGATGATGGCCATTCTTTCTATAAGTAAGATGGGATCTCAGTGTTGTTTTAATTTTCATTTCTGTAATGGCAAGAGATGTTGAACATTTTTTCATGTATTTATTGGCCATTTTTATTTCTTCTTTTGTCAAGTGTCAGTTAATTTGAGTTGCCAATTGTTTGATTAGGTCTTTTGTTTTGAGGAGATCTAATTTTCATTTTGGGACATTGTTTATATATCCTAGGTATCAGTCCTCTGAGGAATAGCTGACAAAAATTTTTTTTCCATTCTGTGGGTTGTCTCTTCTCTCTGTTGGTTGTTTCCTTTGCTATGCAGAAGCTTTTTAATTTGATATAATTTCATTTGGTGATTCTTTATGTTATTTCTTATACAATTAGTGTTCTGTTCAGAAAGTCCTTGCCTACATCTATGTCTCAAAAACCTGTTATTCTCCAGCAGATTGTTTCTGTTTTAACATTTAGAGCTTTGATCCATTTTTACTTTAGTTTAGTACATGGTGAGATACATGGGTCTAGATTCAATATTCTGCATGTGGATTGCCAGTTTTCCCATTACCATTTACTAGAGAGACTATCTTTCCTCCAGTGTACGTTTATGGCTTCTTTTTCAAAGATCAGATAGCTGACTATGCCTGGGGTTATTTCTCCATCTTCTATTCTGTTCCACTGACCCATGTGTCTGTTTTTGTGCCAGCACCATGCTATTTTGATAATGGTAGCTTTGTAATATAACTTTATGTCCAGGATTGTGATGCCTCCTGCCTTGCTCTTGTTACCCAGAATTGCTTTTGCTATTCTGGGTTTCCTCTGGTTCCAAATAAATTTTGGATTATTTTTCTAGTTCTGTGAGGAATGCTATTGGTATTTGGATTGGGATTGTGTTAAATCTGTATATAAGTTTTGGAAGTATGACCTTTTTGACAATAGGTTCTGTTCGTTTAGGAACAGGGTATCTTTCCATTTTCTGATGTCCTCTTTGATTTCCTTTTTCAGAGTACTGTAGTTTTTTACAGGTCTTTTACTTCCTTGGTTACATTAATTCCTAAGTTTTTACCTTTTTTTTTTTTTTTTTTTTTTGGTACCAGAGATCAAACTCAAGACCTTGTAATAGCAAGGCAGGCACAGTGCCACTGAGCTAAATCCCTGGCCCGTTTTTTTTTTCCTTGATCCTATGGTAAACAGTATTTTTTTCTAGTTTCTTTCTCAATACATTCATTATTAGAGTAGAAGAACACTGATGATTTTTGTGTGTTGATTTGGGATTCTGCTACATTGCTTCATTTGGTTATTCTAGAAGTCTTTTGGTGGAGTTTTATTGGGTCTTCTATGTAGATGATCATGAATGGTAATTTGACTTCTTTCTTTACTGTACATATCCCTTTTATTTCATTCTAATGTCTGATTGCTCTGGCTAATGTTTTGAGTATTATATTGAACAGGAATTATGATGTCACCATCTTTGTCTTATTCTTATTTTAGAAGAAAAGCTTTCAGGTTTTCTGCATTTAATATGATGTTGGCAGTAGGCTTGTCATACATGCCTTTAATCAGATTGAGATAAGGCCCTTCTATACCTATTTTCTTCAGGGTTTTTAACATGAATAAATGTAGGATCTTGTCAAAGAGTTTTTCTTTGTATATTGAGATGATCATATGATTTTTGTCCTTGCTTCTGTTTATGTGTTGTATTACATTTATTGATTTGCATATATTGAAACATCTTTGCATTCCTGGGTTGAAGCATCCTTCATCATTGTGTATGATCTTTGCTTGTTTGTTTCTTTTTTTTTTTTTTTTTTTTGGTACCAGGGATCAAACTCAGGACCTTGTGTTTTCGAGACAGGCGCTGGAACCACTGAGCTAAATCCCCAGCCCTGTGTATGATCTTTTTGATGATATGTTGAATTCTGTTTGCCAGTATCCTGTTGAGGATGGGGGGGGGGGGCGTTGAGACAAGGTCTTGCCATGTAGTCCAGGTTGGCTTTGAACTCAGTAATGTAGCCCAGGCTGTCCTTGACCTCATGGCAATCCTCCTGCCTCAGCCTCTCCAGTGCCAGGATTATAGGTGTGCACCACCACGCCCAGCTCTATTGAGAATTTTTGCATCCATGTTCCTTAAACAGATCCCTTTTTTGGTTGGATCCTTGTCTGGATTTGGAATGTGAGTAATGGTAGCTTCTAGGAATGACTTTGGGAGTACTCCTTCCCTTTCAATTTCATTAGAGTTTAAGGAGGCCATGAGGTCCTCTCTGAAGTTCTTGTAGAGTTCAGCAGTGACTCCATCAGGACCTGGGCTTTTCTTAGTTGGTAGGTTTTTTTCATTATTATTGCTGCTTCAATTTCATTGTTCATTATTGAATTATTCAGGGTTTGTAAATTTTGGCTAAGTTTTGGTAATTAAATGTATTTAAGAATCTAGCTGGGAGAGTAGCTAGGATTGCAGGAGTGTGTGACTGGGCATGGCTGAGATTTTGTTACTAATAGGAGTCACCAAGATGGCAGAAGAAGCCTGGTGCCCCAGGACCATGAGCATTGCTTTCTGTATGCCCCAAACACTGTCAACTGGAGTCAGCTTCCTGAGTGACTGGATCTGCACTGCTGCTTGCTCAGGCGCTGGACGATTACCCCAAGGCGCGCCACCCTGGTGAGAGTCTGATGGTTGTGCTGCTGGTTTCTAAACCTGGGGACGTGAGTTAGTGACAAAACAGGATGAAATCCCTGAAATGGATAAAGTCGATAGATTGAACAAAACTGGGCAGCAGGGTGAAAGGAGAGAAGCAGCACATCTCTTCAGGAGGCGCATGCTACCTACCAGTTGCTGAAAATGCATTTCAGTCCTCTGCACAACATGGCTCCTTTCAGCCTGCATCGAGAAGATGTGCTGGAGGAAGCAGACATAGAGAACAAGAATGTATATTTTATTTAAAACAATAAAGCTACAGGACTATAAAAGTGGGGCCATCACACTGCTTAGTGTGCTTAGTGGATTGGGTTGTGCTAATTAATCACTGAGGGTTTCTTTGGGGTGGGTTTCCTTGGAGGTGGGAAAACTTTTCTTGGTTGGGGTTGCTGGTGGGCTGCTGACTGTCACTCTCCTCCCCAGACACAAGAGGACTCTTTTCCGGAGCCAGCGGAAGGCCTGCCTCCAGGTCACACAGGTTGTGGTTTGTGTGTCAGATCCAGTGTCATCCTCCTCTGACTCCCCAAGGGAGACCGAGGAGGACTCCTTGGTGCTGGTCTTCAGCATCTGCCGAGAAAAGGAGGATGAGTTAGACAAGTGTAAACTCCCAGCAGTGCAGCCAGTGTTGACTCATTTATGGAACTCTGTTCCTTTTACTACAAATAGCCCAACTGTAAATGGCCAGTTTCAAAGTCAACACTGAAGCACAGAGGCCATCACAAAACTTTTCTTTTTGTTGTTGTTTGTTTGTTTGTTTGTTGGCATAATGATTCACCTTTGTCTTTCTTCCTACCCTCCATCTCTCTCCCAGTGCTCCGTGGTGTTTTCTCTACATCTCCTCCCTGATTCCTTTCCTTTCTGACCTCCTCCCCCTGTGCATCCTGTCAGACACCTGGGGTCCAGCCCTCCTTCCCAGAAGGTAGTGTTGCCCCAACGCTGTCCCTGTCCAACCTAGCACCTCCACCGGGTCTGTCCATCCTCTCCTGGGAGGCAGCTCTGTGCTCACCTCAGCGGATTCATTTTCTGGGAGCATCGCCGGTGTCTCGGGGACTTGGGTAACTTGTGTATTTTCTGGTGGTTTGCATGTGGGCAGGTCTTCTTCACATGAGACCTGAGCTGGATGAGGAAGGGAGCTGCTGCCCAGCTGGAAGTTTTCCTCAGGTGGTTCTTGGAGCTGGAGGGCGTCGTCTTTGTCAGAGTCATGGCTTTGTTGATCAATGTCCTGAGGGTCTTCATTGTTTTGGATGTTTTCCTTCTTCAAGTAGCTCTCATTGTGCTGTATTCCATCATCCTCACTGGAATCAGGAAGCCTGGTGTCATCAGATATTTTATACACCAGCGTTCGTTCATAAAGGTCCACATACTCTTCGTCATCACTCCAGGTGTCTTCGTTGTTCTTGATCTTCGTGTCCTCTTTTTCTTTTTCAGTTGATCCCAGCAGCATGCCTTCATCTTGGTCTTTGCAGTTTTCAATTAGTCGATCTGCCTCCTCATGTTCATCTCCACTCCTTTCGCTTTCCTCCTTTCTCTCCTCATTGTGACTATCTTCTGGTGCTTGTTCCTCGGTGCGTTTGGGACTGAGAAGCTGAATTACTGGCCAGCCATCCACAGGGTCAATTCATGGCCAGTGTGTTATATTCTTATTTTTCCGCTGGTTGTTGGTAGCGACAGTTTGATCAGCTCCTGCGCCCTCACTATCTGAGACTGTCTCCTCACCCTCTTCCACATCAGGATACATCTGTATACGCACCTGGTTTGGGTTGTCCTCGGTGGTGTCAGAGTTGTTGTCCATACATCCTCCTAGACTCTGTGTGTCCTCTGGTCCTTCCACAGTGGGGAGGCCGTTGACTGTCTCCCGGCGACAGACGTAACCTCTGAAGGAGGTTTTGGTCTCTTTGTGGAAGGTGTGGGAATCAGGGAGATCACCCCCTGCGAGGCTCTCCGGGGAATTTATTTTCATGTGGGACTGCTCTGAGTCCAAGCAGTCACTGCTGGGGTTTGGGTTGCCATGAAACTGTAGTTGTATTCTGTCTCTGTCAAGTCCTGAGGCTTCAGAAGAAGAAAATGAAGACAAGATGTTGGGGAGAAAACAGTCATGTACTTAAGTAATAAAAGAAGAGCAACTGGTCAGGCACACGTGCGTGTGTACACACACACACACACACACACACTTTCCCAGTCTGGTGAGCCCTGCCCTCATGGCTGCTCACCTGAAAGATAAGCTCTGTCAATCTCCAGTCCTTACAAGCAGACCTGAGAAATCCTTCAGAAGTTGAAACTCTGTGGACAAGAGAAAACGTCAGTCTGTGTTCTAGGGCTGGTGATTGCCATGGGAATATCAGAACCGAGTCATAATGGGAGACAGGAAAATGAGGAAAGAGGGGCAGGAGCCTGCAAGGTCTATCAGTTTCCTCTCAGATATTCAGTATGCACACCATTCAGGCTAAAGAACACTTCTTTTGTTGGCAGAAGCATGAATGTCATGGGAGTCGCTTCCCTCTTTTATTTTGGAGTCTAAGATGATCCATGTATCAAGGAATTCACAGCCTCTTTGAGGAGATACAAATCAAGTGACTTGAAAGAAGCCAGGGTGTACTCGCAGCAGAAGAGCTTACAAACAATATCATGAGAGGGCTTAGAAGGGCACCTCGATGCAGGTTGGCTGGCAGTGGGTAGGAGACCAGGAGTAAGTTCCTGGGGTGAGGCTTTCGATCGGCCCAGTTATGGTGGAAGTAGAAGGGAGGCAGGCATGGTGGCACAGGCCTATCATCTCAGCTTTTGAGGGGATGAGGAAGAAGGATGGTAAGTTCAGGCCTGCCTAGACCATGTAGGGAGAGCTAGGCTCAAAACAAAACCGAAGAACACAGAAGAGAAGAGGTAGTAGGCACGTGGAGGAACCCCTTCTTGTGTCCATTAATTTCAGGCCCTGTCTGTCATTATATTTCTGTATGTCAGACCTATGGACGTAAGTTCCGACATACAGTATGTTGGAGTCTTATGATAGTCCATACCAAATTGCTTTTCAGAAAGCATATATCCATTTACATGGTCATCATCCCACCAGCTAATGGCATACTTAGCCTACCTTTTCCCATGATGCTCTAGCTATTAAATGGGTGTGGGAGACCATGTGATGGCCACACACACTCCCGGAGTGCTGTGCCCCGCCTTAATGGCTGCCTACCTGATAGATAAGCTCTAAAAGTCTTCGGTTGCAAACAGGTAATGTGAGAAGTGCTTCAGAGTTTTGAGTCTCTGTGGCCAAGAGAACACATAAGAATGTGCTCTATGACTATGGGTTACCAGCAACATCAGAACCCAGTTATAACAGAAGATGAGAAAGAGGAAAAAGGGTTAGAAGACTGAAGGATCTATGCTCATGTTTCCAAATCACTCTGTGCACAGACATGCAGGATAAAGACTGTTTCTCCTGTTGGCAGAAACATGAACACCATGGGGGTGGCTTCCTTTTGTTGTAGAGCTTAAGACAATCTATGCCCTGGCAAATTTAGAGCTTCTTTGAAGAGCTAGCAATCAAGGGACTGACTGGTAGAGGACAGGGTGTAAGTGTAGCAGAATTCACAAATAATGTCATGAGAGCACGTAGATGGGGACTTCATGCAGCCAGCCTGGGAGTGGAGAGGAGAGCAGGACTAACATGGAAGACAGATGCCTTCCAATGGGAAAGCTTTTGGAGGAAGGGCCAGAGGTTTGGCTCAGTGGCGCTGCCTGCCTTGCAACGCAGGGTCCTGAGTTCGATCCCTCGCACCAAAAAACAAACAAACAAAAACCCTGAAAGCTTGTGGAGGAAGTGGTAGAGATACAGACACAGGGGCACACACCTATGATCTCCCTACTTGGGAGGCTGAGGAGGGAGGATTGTGAGTTCCAGACTGACCTGGTCTACACAGAAAGACCTGGCCTCAAGGGAAAACAACAGAGGTTATAGGGGATGTAGGAAAAAGAGAACTCCCTACCTGTGAGATATCAGATGTCCTGAGTTTGTGCCCCCGAAATCGAAGAATTAATTTCAAGGAACAACAGAGGTTAATAATAGGAAAGGTCTTCTGAGAGGTAGGAGGGGTCTCGAGTGGGTGGCCATTGAGCCCCTTTGTCATGGGAAATTTATACAGCAAGGTCACAGTGTGGGTACAACGTGGGTCAAACTATAATCAACCTATATGATTACAAGTATAGCTGCTTAGCTAATATTGATGTAACAGGGAAATGAGTCACCTAGAAAGGGTACATGGAAAGAATAAAAGTGCCAGGTGTGGTGGCACATGCTTGTAATCCCAGTACTCGGGAGGCTGAGGCAGGAGGATCACCGTGAGTTCCAGGCAACCCTGGGCTACATAGTGAGTTTAGGGCCAGCCTGAACTACAAAGCGGGACCCTGCCTCAAAAAGCCAAAAAACCAACCAAACAAACAAGCAAACAAACGTGTTTAAAGAAAAAGAAAAAAGAAGAAGAAAAGCATGTTTGGGGAGGGATGGGTCCAGATGCTCTGGTCACCCATCCGATCAACTGATACCTATCTGGACTCACTGGACGAGGTGGTACTAATTACAGAATAAGTCCAAGGTACTGTTTATGCCTTAGGGAGGCATGCAGGCCTGGATATTGCATCACTGTCTTGAGGCCTGGCCTTTTTCAGAGGTTTCTCCATCCACAATTTTGATGTCTTTGTTTTCCCTTTCTTTTTTTTTTTGGCACCGGGGACCCAACTGGGGTCCTTGTGCTTGCAAGGCAAGTGGCGGAGCCACTGAGCTAAACCCCTGGCCCTCTCTGACTTTCTTGAGCGCCCTGTCCCTCTCTGTATATTTCTTTCCACCCAACTTAGCTTCCTGTGATATAGGCATGTGGGGGAGGGTACAGTTTAAGCAAGAATGCTCAGGTAAGAAACCTGTTGTGTGGGGTGATCAAGTGCAGTGGGGTATGTGGGGTCAGTGAGGGCCTGGTAGGCCTTTCTTTGCCTGTGAGGAACATGGATTTTTGCCACTCATCCAGCAAGGATGGTGACATTCATGTGTCGGGCAACCTCACAGACACTTCAGAATACACTGAAATGTTTCACATGATTGAAAACCCCAAGTCCAATTTCCTTAAGCGCATGGACCTCACTGCTTGGCTCCACTGAGCGTCGGGTCTGAGGGTTTGTACCAAAAGAACCAGGCTGCACTGGGTACGAGAAGGATTTAGGGGAGAGGGGACAGCGTGTTGGCTGCACCTTGGAACTTCAAGGCTGAGAGAGTACGGAGGGCAGAGTGTCGTGGGGAGTTTCCTGCACCCACCCTTCAGGGTTCCAGCCCTCTCCTCATGCTTCTCCTTCTCAGGATAACCGCACCACATCCACTGTGGATGATCATACAGGTCAAGGACAAAGCTCAGTTTTGGCACAGAAGCAGGCATTGGCCCCTTGGTTGCCTAGATGGTTGTCATGTCTCTATGGTTCCAGTGCCTCCCTCTTCCACTGCTTTCATTTGGTTTATAATCTCAGCCTGAAAGCCCCCTTCCAGGAGCCCTTCTAAGGCTCCTCTTTCCTCTTAGTGCCCCATGCCATCCATTTTTCTTTCAGGATCCTAGGGACCAGGCCCTCCAGCAGGTCCAGGCAAGGTTCGTGCTGTCAGAGAGATGTTTTCTTCCTGTTTGGCTCAGGTAGAACCTTTCTGATGCCTGCCAGTATCTAGAAGTTACCCTCCATGTGCCCTTCCCCGGCATCTTTTCCTGAGTGTCTCTGGAGCCTGGCTCACTCCCTCCAGCTTCTTTCCTGTGACTTTCCTCATTATTTCCCTCACTGTGTGAACAGTTTACTTCTCTGCTCTGCACCTGACTCTTGCTTACCTGGTTGGAACGAACATTCCCGTCCTTACACACAGCCGTGGCGGTGTATATCAATCAGTGAAAACTTTAGCTAAGCAATTTGGCATAATAAGTTTGCTTCACTTCTGATATTTTTTTGTCAGTTTTGTTTGTCTAGTTGATCTCTTTGTGACAGTGGGGTATCGAGGTTCCCCATTACAATGTATTAGTACCTATTTGATTTTTCATGTCCATTAATAATTGTTTGGATCCTTTCAGATTACCTTCTAAGGTTTGGTCACACCAGCAAACTGAAAGAGATTTTAATGTAAATAAAGAATTTATATTAACATTACTCATCTGTATAACAGTATTTTAGAAACAGATTTGTTTCTTTTATGTCCACTAGTAGCAATATGTTTATGGTGTGATCCAGTCGTTCATGGGTGAAAATTATCACAAATATTATGCATGTTTTCATACTGAATATCAAGCTTCCTTTAGTACAAAATATTTGCTTTTAAAAAATAAGCAAACCTCATTTCTGTAGGGTTCAGTGATTACCTGAAGTGATTTTTCTTTTATCTCCTAGATCTTAAATCAATCACACATTACCTATTTTTATTAGTGGTGAAATAATTTGATAAAATCTAATTGTAAGAAAGATTCAGCTTCTGTCAAGTGATTCTATCATATTGGATCATCATTTTTAAGAACTAGTCAGTCCTTTTCTAAGTGTCTGTATATGTTCTAAAACTTCAACTATGTTTATACAACTTAGAAAATGTTACGGTAATCTAAAATAGCATGTCTTATTGGAGTACTTATGTTTGTTTTCTCAGTACTTTTTTTAAAGTTTAAAAGTGTAATTAAACATATTTTGTGATTGTTAAAAAATTGTTTGGTATTTCGTGCATATATATTTATGACTGTTATCTCTTC